ACAAGTAAAATGTGATGAGCAGGAATGGTAACTGACATTAGATCTGGAGCATTAGGTAACGCTCCATCTGCAATGGGAAATGCTTTGCTGATGATTTTATATGATTTATTGTCTCTGAAGATACTTTGAGCAGGTGACCAAACTTTCATGAAGTCACGAATTTATGAAACTTTCATAGCTTTACTTACTGTTGCATGTCTATATGTTTTAGTGGTGTGAGTAGTTGCATTGCCTTTGACAATTTTGGACATTGAGCGCTATGATCTGGACATTAAGAGCAACAGCACAAGCCATCACAGCTGTGTGGAGAGGAGCGTTTGATTGTCCGGAGAGGGCAGCCCTTCAACATTATCTTACACCTGACTGCTGGCAGCAAGGACTTCAAACCCGGTGAACCAGGCCTCACGCTCATCGTTGAAATGGGCACAACTATTTATTAATTGTACGTACATGTGTGTGCAGTGTCTTTGAATGCATGCATGAGTGAATCAGTAGTTATTTAGGGTTTATTTGTCTGTAAACCAGATTTGGATTTATTCTTTATGCCCGTGTCTGTCTCTCCAGGTCTACTACCAAGAAAAGAATCAGACACTAAGGTTACCTTCAATATAACTGACTCCACAGTGGACACTGACTGGAGTGCTTCTGCCACTTATGATCCGTCTGGAAACACACTATCATTGTCCATCTCCTCTTCCCCTGATGCCCCCATTGGGGTCTATTCTCTGACTCTGGACCAAAATGGGAAGAAGACCAGTTTAGATTCACTCTGCTTTTTAAAGCTTGGTGCCCCAGTGAGTACATGAAGTTGTCTCTAATTGATTTATGATAAGTTATTTATATTCTGGGTTCAGTGTCAGTCCCTTTAAATGTTGTCCGCTTTACATTTATATAGTATGTGGACACTATAAAATTTTCTAAATGGACAAATGTAAGGCCCTAGGGCAAGAATTGGCCCAGTGAAGACTCCAATCCCAGATGGATGTCACTGGAAAATATGAAGGAGTTATAAAATTTCACTGTATTTTTATATATTTTACAGCTTTTTCTGCTAATAAAACCTTTTCGCACAGTAATGCATAAACAATAAGATGACAGAAAAGGTCTCGTTTACGCTCTTGTCTACTATAAAATTTTTGGTTTAAAAAAAGAGAATTATTTTCATCAATTAACAAAAACTTTGTTTTTTAATTACTGGGCAGTGAGCTACCAGAACTTTTGTTTATTACTGTAGACCAGGGGTGTCAAACTCAAATACACAGTGGGCCAAAATTCAAAACTGGAACAAAGTCGCGAGCCAACGTTAATATTCATTGGAAAAAAAAAAAATCTTCCTCCAGATATAAGAATTAATCTTTTCTTATGGACTCAAACAAGTTTTGCTGAAAAACTGAATATGGAACAAGCAAAGCTTAATACTAAACAATATATATATTAGCTGTATAATACCAGTAGGCTAGCTCTAATAGTAATTTGGTATGGCTTCGCGGGCCAAATGTAATTAGGCTGCGGGCCAAATTTGGCCCGCGGGCCAGAGTTTGACACCTATGCTGTAGACATTTCTGATGTAGAAAACTGTTTTGTGCTGTAAAAATTACACTCCTTTGTCTTATATTAAGATATCTCAGGGATTAAATGTGTAGTTAAATGTCTTTACACTGACAGAAAGTGCAGTTTCATTCTCCGGCCTACTTAAGATCAAAGGGGTGTGTATGCGGACCTCAGTGTTAAATGAGTTTGACCGGCCATGGTCTAAATATTTTGGTGTTTTGGTGCGCCAACAGGAGATGCTGTTTACATGCACAGTGAGACAAAGAGGCAAGAGTATGTTCTAGCACAACATGGACAAATCTACAGAGGAACGCATAAAAGGATCAAGGGGATACCCTGGAACTTTGGACAGGTATCAGAAATGCCATAAATCAACAGATTAAGTAAGGGCTGTGCAAACATTTTGAAACATATCTCCTTCTCCTTGGTTCCTCTGCAGTTTGAAGCAGGAAAATTGGACATCTGTCTGATGATAAGGACTGCTCTGCGAGGAGAAATGCCATTTATGTGACCAGGGTGCTGAGCGCCATGGTAAGTCTGCTTTTTTATGAAGATGGTTGGTATGAAGGTTGGTTGTGTCTCTCCTTCACTTATGACTCATTTGTGTTTTTTGGTCTCGTCTCTTGCACTCAGATTAACAGTAATGATGACAGGGGTGTCCTGGTAGGAAACTGGGGAAAGATTGAGAATGGCACTCATCCGGGAGAGTGGATCGGCAGCGGGGACATTCTGCGTCAGTGGGCAGAAAGCGGTCCTGTCTGCTACGGCCAGTGTTGGGTGTTTGCTGCAGTTGCATGCACAGGTTGACACATATTTTTCAGTGCTTTAGAGTTTGCTATCTATTGTTTTGTTTATTGATTGGTTTAGTTTAATTCACAGTAATAATATAAAGTTAAATGGAAAGAAATGTCTGTTTTTTTATTTTCAAGAACGATTAAAATAAACCAACGAATGATCTGATATCGTCGTGTTGGTGTTGTTCCTGGGACAACATAGTAAATGTTGTTCCAGGATTGCAACATTGCAAGGGACCAATCGCATTGTTGTGACGTTATTCTTTGGCGCGCCTAGCCATTCGTGCATTTATTAAATTCCAATGTTGCAAGCACAATATCAATTCTGCTTAGCGTTTATTAACGGGTTAGGGTTAGGGTCAGGGTCCGTTGATCGGCGGACAGAGGCGGTTTCTCGCAGCTTAAGTACAGTTTTTTGTTTTACGGCGGTTTTTCCCGAAGTCGCAAAAGTATGACGTCACAACATTCTGATTGGTCACTTGCAATGTTGATCCTGGAACAACATTTACTATGTTGATCTGGGAACAACACCAACACGACGATATCAGATCCCAGCGCTTTGCACCGATGACGTAGGCCTCTTATGTCATTGATGGGACTGCCTTCACTCCAGCCTCTAACAGCAAAGATGATGGAGGAGGGCAGGTGAGGACAGGCCAGAGGGTTGCAAAACATGCGGTCGGATGTGTTTGAGCTGAGGTCAAATATGGTCTCCAAAGTACAGAGGATAATTACTTGACATTCTTCACTATTCCCCACTATTTCATTTCCAATTATGATATCCATGATGTAATGTGGATTAATCAAAGCCAGCCTGACCTGCAAAGAGACACGAGGACATACGTTTGAATTAAACTGTCTATGACAGGGCCTGTTATTATGTTGCCAACATATTTCCTACACGGAAAAACATACTTATCCAAATGTATGTGAATAAAATTAAAGCTTAGAAAACGTGAATACGTACTTAACTAATTTTAAATAGTTTTCAGATACATGGAAAACTATAATATTCATGTGTAGGCTACTGTAAATTTTGAGTTTAGCTCTATCCTTCCTATTATTTTAGATGAAAATCCTCAAAGATATTTGAGCCGTTGTCCCTTACTTACTTTGGACAGAAGCAGAGAGATGTACTCTTTGCAATGATCTGGTGCAAAGTTGATCCAGCAAAGGATGGCCTCATACACCATCCGCTCCTGCTTCACAATGAGCCGGTCGCTCTCAATGATTTTAATGAGTTCATTTGCAGAGAGCATCAGGAACTCATCAGAGGTGGTGACGACCACCTCGAAATGGTTCAACATGAAGAGTAAGGCCTTCATCAGCTGTGGGTTGTAGTAGAAATTTGTAAACCCTCAAATGCTGATGCAGTTCTGTGGGGATATTTGCTTCTCCATGAAGTCGCTACAGGCTTGCATGATGCCCGATATTCCAAACCTGTCTGCTGCTATGAAAAGCTCTTGCACGTTGTCTGTTGTCACAGGAAGAACCACAGTGTAGGCAAATTCAGTGATGAGCTTCACTGTGCCTGGTGTCACATCGGGAATGTCAAAGACTAGACAGTCTGGGGCTGACCAGCGCGCAAAGACAGCTCTCTGAGATGACGGGGAAAAGTATTAAAAATGAGATGTTGCATCACCCACATGTTCATACAGCATCACGCGTCATCGGTATGATTTATTTTTTAACACCAACCCCATTATGTCTCCAAAGGTTGATTCTGTTCATCTGGACGTAGCGTTTTCAGTTTCAGTCCAGATTTACTTACCTGGATGATTGAACATGCATCAAGACGAAAAACACCATTATGTGTTTTTGTTTGTTTGTTCAAATATAAGTGTGAGTAACAAATTGCACAAAAACGCCAGATGTTGAGTTGAGTTCATATATGCAAATTGATTGGAGCTTCTTTCATAAAATAGTGCTTTCTCCTTCATGAGTAGCTCACAAATTAGTACTCCAACCATGCAATACACAGAAAGTCAGAATTGACACTTCAGATTCAACTGGTGTAAACACTTGAAACTTTTATGCACTGATTTACAAACGTAAACAATTCGTAAACCGGTGCATAAAAGTCAAGTTTTTATAACGCAGCTATATCTATATATGTAATACACAAGTATTCATGATTAATGGAAATAAATAAATAAATAAAAATTTTAATTTGCCCCTTAAATTGAGCATTTGTTGAACTCTACTTCGAGTCACATGCAGTTTTCTGAAGTCAGGACTCTTCATCCACCCTTACAGCTTCTAAGGGGCATGAGAAAGGGTCTGTTCCCCTTTCATCTTCCTGTGATTTTTTACTGACATCCACCGTCATATCTGTAATTTAATATTTAAATTAGGGAATTTCTTAGATAGAGGATACACCAAACCCAATGAAAAGATCCTAGAAGGATAAGGTCCACTACTTAAATAACTTAAAATTATAACAGAAATGTAATCCATGGTCTCTAAAATGTGAAACGGCCCGAGTTTCCTCACTGCATTAAATAAAAGGCTGGAAAACTCTGATTTGCACATATGACTTTATTATTATTATTATTATTATTATTATTATGTTATTATGTATTATAATTAAACCCCATTTTTAATTTAAGTAAGTATATTTGCATTATACTGAAATTATGTAAAATACACACAGAATTTGTTCAAATGGTTCCAGTTTATTGGCATCCACTGAATCACTTTCATTACAGAAAAAACATTACCCCTAGTGGCAGAGTCCTGGTAGTACAGACTGATTCTATAGAAACACATACCACACAGCAAGTCGGTAAGAAAATATCTAAGTGTTATCTACAGTCAAGCATATCTTGGTTAAAATGTTACTGAAATCTTTCCTGGTTTTGGTTTTTATCAGATGAACATGAATTAATGAAATAATGGCTCCGCTTTAATGTTCGACATTCAAAATCCAAAGGTTTACTTTGATATTAGGGATCATGTTAAAGCCCAAACATCTGTTTTATGACCCCAGTAATGACTCTGACGAATGCATCCACACCTTTGGTTGAACAAACACTGCAGAAAACTGCTAATTTTCACCTGCTCTTTGAAAGATTTTGTGGTTCCAGGCTTCCAGGAGAGGCCAATCTTTTTACTGCAAAGGTTTTACATGAACAGCACGTCTCAGCTGAGCGTTTGGAATCAGCAGATAAGCTACAGCTTCTACAATCTTTCTTTTATATAAGGAAAAAAAATCACCTCAGCTGTAGCAGCAGGAGTCGCCACGTGTTTCTGAAGATGCTAATGAAATGAGCAGTTTGTTAAACGTCTCTGACCTTTTTAGCATAAACTTTTTCAATAAATGTATTTTTTTTTTGTGTATCAGACAACTGAAAATTAAATATCAGTTAAGCAAAATGACAGATGGCCTTCTCGCAGAACTGCTCCTAAAAAAAGGCTCGTACCAAAATAATGACTTTGGTAATTACAACTTTTCCTGACCTCAATATCTAAATAAACACATTTGTTACAGGATGGATCAACCATGAAAAGAGAAAACAAAAACAAATATGAAGGGGATGCAGGCGTGAACCTGTTGAATACTTAAATCGATACAGGCAGGTAGAACTGTGGAATATTTAATAATATTTTTGATCAGTCCAATGTGTCTATTAATGTTGCTAAAGTAGGGAATGGTGAGTTCATTTCACAATAACATATAATCGAATTAATGCAACTACGCTACCCTTTTATTTAACTTTTCCATTCCATTTCCATTTTCCAAATGTTGTGATCAGTATATCAGCAAATGTCGTTTTCTGACTCGTTTATCTTGACACTTCTTTTAATAACGGCTCAATCCTGATGTCTTCATTTATTTTTATTTTTGCCTTCTTATCAATTACCTTTTCAAAAGATACAGCAATAGTATTTTTTTAGTTTTAGCATTTAGATGATCTTTTTCAAACGTGCAGGATTTCATTAGCAAAACTCAAACTGTGCCTCTTTTCCACTAACGAACATAATGAGCTTCATCATATTTCAAATGAAAGCATGACAACAGTTCTTTTGAACCTTGTGCACCTTTGTATCAAAATAAGGAAAATCCTTACATACAGGAAAATAAAAAGTCCCTTGTCTTTAAAATTCCTGCCTGAATGATTGTATCCCACAAATCCCGTTTTTCAAACTCTACCAAGTGTTACTTTAATGAAAGCGCTGCGTGTGGCGTCCGGTGAAACAACCAAAAAAGCAACACATACTGAAGTGGCCTGATATTTTTTCTAACTATACAAACACACACTTACACACCGTAAATCAACAATCTCTCTAATTTGTCGATAAAAACCAAGCAAATAAAAGTCAAAAAATAAACCTAATGAATGGTACATCCTCTTCACAGTGTAGCCACAGCCTTTAGGAATTAAGAGAGCGGACAGACAACCTTTGCTCACTGAATCCGAACTATAACTTACAGCCAGATGCTTCGACTGACATGTCCTGACAACCAAGTTTACGTCTAAGCTCCTCCTCCTAAATCACTGAAACTTCCAGCATTTAAAACAAAATAAAAGCAACAGGAAACTTGTTCCAAGCTGGTGAAGTGGAATCCTTGACGATCGAGAGGGTATGGGGGAAAAAAAACTAAGAAAATAAACAGGCTGACAGAGTCTTTATTCTCCTCTGCAGAGCATTCTCATTTTACCAAAAGCCTTCCTCGTCCTCGTCCTGCAGGTTTGAGTTAGCAGGTGGGCTGGCGACTGTTAAGAGGATTGACCACACGTGTCCTCTGGCTGGAGACACAGCTGGGAGTATTTCTGTAAATCCAACGTGGAGCTGAGATTGGCTGGGGAGGAGCATACAGGAGACTTCGTCGAGGCAAAGGGTTCTCAATCGGTGGAGAAGAGGTCGCCTGCTGAGGGGAGCGGGGCCAGACCCCCAGTTACGTTGGGCAGCAGCGAAAGGTCAGGGAGACTCTGGATGTGGGACTTGAGCTCCTTCCTCACCTGAGTCACCCTCGCCAGTTTCTGCTTATACTCCTACCGAAAAAATGACGACACGCACAGGTATAAGCAAATTATATCTTTTTTTTAATATGAAAATATGTGAGACAGGAAACAGAAGAGCCAGGCAGTAAAGAAGGGAGATGACCTCTAAAACTGGATGCACCAAAACGTCAGTAATAAACGTCAGAATTGTATTTAAACATCCAAGAATAAACGTTTGCCAACTGTGATAACCAGATCCGCTTTTTACAGTGTGCTGACTTTCTGACCTCTTTTATTTCTTGCCATGTCAGACATGCTCCCAGCTATGTGGGCATGTTTTTAGCCAATGAGTGCTTTCAGGGCTGAAGCATTAGCTGTAAACTGCTTCTAAACTTCTAAACGGCAGAAATAAACATGTTTGCAGCTGTTTTTATCTCTTAGCTAATCTGAGTCACTGAACATGACCTCAAAAAGATCGGGGTGTTGTTACCTTTAGGTATTTTTCCTGCAGTTATCTGTGAAATAATATGGCATGCTGTATGCTAACTGCTATAATGACTTCAGACATCTGTACTTAACTCTACACAAGTGTATTACAGGTTTTGCAGCTCCCTTTATTAATGAGACAAACACAAGCATTCAAACATCCTTTTCTAATGACTGTTGCGTCTGTCGAGTGCCTTACCTCCAGTTTCTTCTCTCTCTCCATGAGTGCCTCCTTCTGGCTGCTGATGTATTCAGTGAGCATACGTGCTAACTGCCGCCGGTCCTCCAGCTCTGCGGCCAGGCGCCCGTTATATTCTGCCAGCAGCAAGCAGGCTTCATCCACAGTTTTTGAGAGCTTGTCTGCGGCTTCTTTGTCTAGAGTTGAGCCAAAGTGTGTTGTTAATCTCAGAGCCATAATTTAAACTGCGGTTACTCCAGATAAACACGCTCCTCTGCAAGCAGTGCTTGATTGCTGTATATATGTTCTGTCCTAACATTTATTGATTGAGTGCGAGTCTTTTTGGAAGGAGCAATTCTATCACAGTGAAAGCAGAGATAAAACAATCTAAGCTCAAGCTCTACAAAAAGATCTCCTGAGGCTGCTCTCTCCTTAACTTTCTGTGGTCAGTGTGCTACATACCATAGAAGACACCTGTGATGTAACTTACAGGGCACAATCTAGTTTACCTTGGCTCTTTTCCACTAGTACCGGTACCTACTCGGCTCAACTCAACTGTACTCTACTCGTTTTGTCTCATTTTTCATTATAATCAACTACCATCTAATGTGGATGGAATCATTACAGCAATTTGGCTGAAACTGCTGGGTTTAAAGAAAGTCTGTTTTGAATTTTGTGAAGGAGTCACTCTCATGACTCACCGAGTGACACCACTGACTTGCGAATTGGCAGCATGCAGTCTGTTAGCATGACATTTTTGGATTGATTCAGCTCACTTGGTACCAGGTCCTACTATCAAAAACCATAAAAGGCACTAGTGGAATCAGTCTTTTCTAGGGGTACCATCATTTATAGCCAGGCCAATTTCATTAGTTGTTTAAAAAAATGATTCTGCTGAACGACAATTTAAAAGCAATGTCTGATTTTCTTGAAGTTTTTTGTTTTAGTGTTATTACTTTTCTCAGTTTCAAGTTATTATTTTAGTGACCACTGTAGGTTGTTCTTTCTTTGACAGAAGATTACCAACAATTTTGTCCAAAACTGAGCTGAGCTGTCCAAGCCTTACCTGTGATCTTCTCCAGCAGGGAAACATCCTGGACTTCCTGCGGCAGCGAGGCAATCTTCTGACGAACAGCTGCGTCACCTGATGCAGCGTTCTCTAAGTCCTGCAGGGCTTTTACCAGCTCCTCTGTCTGCATGTGTGCCAGAGTGTGTTTAAAGACAGGAGACAAGGGAAAAAAAGGAAGTGGGGGAAACAGTAATAAGAGATCAGTAAGGAGGCCAGTCAAAAATACCAGCATTTTAACATTATCTGGATTAAACGTTGGCATCTTCACCAGCTGAGTTGCCGAGGAATCTGCGTTGCGAGGAGAAGTGTGGCTTCTATAGTCGTTGTCATCATCGTCCTCATCTTCCTGGATCTTTTGATAGCTTCTTTTCACTGGCTTTTTTTCTTCTGCAGAGTGAAGTTTGAAGATAACAGAACAGAAAAAACACATCATGAGGTCACTAATGTGTTTCCTTTAACACCTATGATGGCATACTGATGTCGACAGGATAAACACTGTATTCACTGTTAGATAACATTTTGGGTACTTGAACGCTGCTCTTTCTGTTGTTCTGTGATACAAACTCAGTAAAAACCTGCCATTTACCTGCAAATGCAGGTGTGTCGACACACATGTTGTTAACAGTGAAAGAGTGAAAAGAAAGGCTTCCTGTTTGGAGAATTATTCAGTCGTAATCAGTGTATTTACTCAGACGCAGTCCACTGATACAGTCACTTCATAAATCATGACAGCTCTCTAACAAACGTCCACAAAATGTGACTTCTTTCAGCATTGGTGATCCCGGCCATGGTTTTAAAGTGAAAGGCTGTGATGTCAAACGCATCGTATACATTTACATACACCTGTGACAACATGTTATGTAATAGTCATCTAACCTGAAGGCCTGGGGCTGTTTGAGTCTTCTATGGCGAGTCTGAGCTGCTGGATGAAGTCGCTTCTGTAGAGGTTCCTCTCCTTCCAGATGTTCAGCAGTCTTTCCATGTGCTTTTTACAGTTCTCGTCTGCATCACTGCAGGGCAACGAGGGGAGCAACAGATTTCAGCAGACAATAAGGGAATAACGAGTTACATAAAAATTTAAAATTTAAAGACGCACAGGAAGGCTATAAAAAGATCAAAGCACATCCAGAGTTTTTATGACATATCTTCTAAAAAACAAAAGATAACGGGGGCTGCAGAAGGATCTGCTGTGCTTAATAGATAAGCAAAAAAACAAAACAAAATTCAAACAAATGACTTCCCATGCATCTACTTCCCCACACAGACTCACACACATTTACTACATTCAGGAGAGTCTAATTTGGACTTAGAGAACACGGTGGTCACCATTAAAATATACCTGGCAACATGGGAGCAGGCATCGACGAGCACAGACTCAAAGTCTTTGGTGAACTCGGGGCCTTTCTTCTTGCTGTTCTGGATGACATCATTAGCCAGATACAGGAATGTCAGCTTCCTGCTGCTTTTAGCTGCAAGATACATGAAAAATATCTCATTTAAAACGTTAGCTTTAACAAAAATAACAAGGAAAATTCACAGAGTGATTATCAGTTTCTCACATTCAAATTATTTTGAGTTTGAGTTGCAGTTTGAGTTTTAATTTGCATATTTTCCCTTCATCATGCCCATCTCCTTTACTTACTGCATAAGAATGAGGAAAAATACACTGTTAGTCACAATAAAACTGAATTTACTAGTATTTCTATTCTTTCACACCCATGTAAGCTGACCATCTATAAGGTCTTAGGGCAGGGGTGTCAAACATAAGGCCCAAGGACCAGAATCAGCCTACTAAACAGCTTTGGAAAACATAGAAAGGTGCATAAATTTTGGTTTACAGCTTTTCCTACTGAGAAAGACCTCCCCCTTGACTGTTCATACTGCGCCAAAGTAATTAAGCAACAGATAAACAATTAACTGAGAGAAAAATAGTTTTTTTCCCTCTACAATGCAGTATAACAGTTTATGTTTTTGGGTTTTGGTTTTGTTTTTTTTTTACAATAGGTCCACAGTTTTAAGAAAGGCTATTTCCTATTAACAAAAAACAAACAAAAAAAACAAACAAAACAAATACAGGACAGACTGGGCTGTAAGATACCAGAAGTCATCCTACACATTTATTTCCTGAAACTAAGATAATGTCATGGATTAAATGCACAGTTAAACTTCTTTGCACTGACAGAAAGGTGCTTTGTAGTGTGCTGTACGTGGCTCACAGCGTAAAATGAGTTTACAGTCTGTGCCTATGTCATGGCTTAGAAAGAAATGCATGTATTAATGCATGTACAGTGTCCTTTACTTGTTAGTTACCGGCTCTCTCTTTGGCTGCAACATACACACAAATGTGTGGGTTTTTTTTCAGGGGGCAGTCAGGTCTCACCTTTTTTCAGCTCTCTGTGCCACACTTTGACGATGAGGCCCGAGTGTTTGCGGTGGTGGATGATCCACAGAGACAGAGTCTGGACGCTCTGCTGCGAGCTGCTCAGCTCCGACAGCTTCTTCTCCAGGGCGGACTCAGAGAAGGACGACATGCCGGTGAGTGAGTGTGCGCTTCCCTTGTGACCGGACC